ACAGCTTCATCCTAGAAGGAAGAATATCTATTCCTTATTGAGATAATAACATTGTATATAAAAAAATGGTACTCCAGCACCTTAACAAGGTATACTCCCCAATTGCAAATGAGCACAAGATATGAACACACACTTCACCAAAGAAGACATTCAGCTGGTGAGCAAACACATGAGGAAATGTTCAAGATCCCTAGGTCTCAAAGAGATGCAAATCAAAACAATTATGAGATATCATCTCACTCCAGTAACAATAGTAAAGTTCAACAGAGCCACAAACAACAAATGCTGGTGAGGCTGTGAAGAAACTGGAACACTTATTCACTGTTGGTGGGAGTGTAAAATGGTGCAACCACTATGGAAGACAATATGGTGCTTTCTCAAAAAGTTGGAAATAGAAATACCATTTGACTCAGAATTTCTACTATTGGGAATATACCCTAAAGAAACTAGAGCATCACCCAAACAGATATATATGCACACCCATGTTTATAGCTGTATTGCTCACTATAGCAAAGAGATGGAAGCAACCCAAATGCCCATCAACAAATGAATGGATAGGGAAGCTGTGGTATATTCACACAATGGAATATTACACAATACTGAAAAACAAGAAACTAATAAAATAGTGTACAATCTGGGTGGCCCTAGAGGGCATTACATTGAGTGAAGTTTCTCAGTTACAAAAGGATAAATACTGCCTAACACTGCTGTTATAAAACAGGTTTGGGGAAACTAAGACAAAAGTGGATAAGTAATGAAAACTTCATTGGAACAGACTAAGGAAAGAACTATTTAAAAGGAATACATGATTAGGCATTATTTGCATGACAACAATACAAAAGAAGAGATACATTACAAAGTGGACTGGGGTCAGGGAAGGAGGAAATTATCCAACAATATTTTTTATTGTGCAATGATATTTTTTTTAAAGTGAGCAGGGGTGGGTAGGGAGGAAAATGTGCAAAAATGAATGAATGGAAAGCTAAGTTTTTTGTAAACATTCATTAACATAAAAAGAAATATTTTATTTTAAAAAGGATACTTTTGGGGAAAAATAAGAACATAATATCCTATCATAGGAATCCAGAATTAAGGTTTCATAGTGGAGTTCATTCAGGGTGGGGGCAGGGGGATTGCACACCAAGGAACAAGTTTATCTTTTGCTTTTCAAAGAGAGGAGCGAACTGGAGGGGGGGGATGGGGGTAGAGAAAAAAGTGCAACAATGAATGAATGGAAATCCAAAATATCTGTAAATGTTCATTAACACTAGTACAATAAAAAAAAAATAAGAACATACCACCTACGGGTCATAGTTGACTTGACACCGCCTAATGTCGGCAGAGTCTTACCATCTGCAGAAGGAGCCCTGGCCGTGACAGCTAAGTGCCTGATGTCAACTGATATGTCAAACTTTCAGTGACTCTATAGGAGAAAAGACCTGGTGATTTGATACCATATCCATTCTCCTGATGTTGAATTCTTACAGTGTTCCTCTGTGCTATTATTTTTTTAGTTTTAACTGTGCTTTTTTTTTTTAATATTGTAGAGTTGGCATTTTGGGGCATTTAGAAATAAAATATATTGTTATAGGTGACTGTGAGAATGGAAGCTTTATAAACAACATTTTAGTTGTTGACAAGCTGTGCTAAACCTCTAAACTGCTGATACCTAAAGAGGGTAGCTAAGAAAGTGACTTGTTAGAATTTTCTTTTTAATGCATTTACTCTTTAGTGCAATCCCTGAGGCTAGGAGAACAGGCATGAAATTGTTGCAAAAATTAGGGTTTTAGAACCTAAACTGAGACAAAGTTTACAAGATAAAGAGGAGGGGAATGAGAAGTGATTCAGAATACAGTGACAATGAAAACATTACATCAAAATCTAGGTGGATGCCTCTGAAAACAAGATTTAGATTAGATATTGATATTATAAAGTGGGGTTTAGAATTAATATAACAAAACACAACCTGCTTGAATTGTTGACTAGAAAACCAATTTGTTCTGTAAAATGTTATCTCAATCACAAAAAAAGGTTTGAAGAACAAATAAATATCCAAAATTTTTACAAAAAAATCAACTCAACATTCAAGTAAAAAAGTTAGAGTAACAATAAATTAAACTCACTGTAAAAGGAAAATAAAGACAAAGACTAAGTCAAGTCAAGTCAAAGCAGAGATGTGTTTAACATAATTGGTAATTAGAGATTTTTCAAGAGCTTAGCGGAAAATACAAGGTGGAACTAGAAAGAAGCCAGCACACATATGAACCCAGAATAAAATAAAGGGTAAAATGGAAGAAGATATTTTATTTTCTGAAGACAGGGAGACTTGAGTCTGATTGCAGGCTATGGAAAGCAGGCACAAAATGTGCTAATTAAAATACTGTTGTTAGCTTGTTGTTGAACTTACTACTCATGTGATCTCATGCACAGTGGAACTGGAGACCTTTCTCATCTATAGAGGTTTCACTCACTGCCTGAACTTGAGAAGAAGTTTATCACTTTTAGTGCAGTTCATTCCCAGTTCATCTTAGCCTGGTAAGTCTGCTGAAACCTTTTCAAGATTATGTCATTGTTCTTGAGTACTATGGAGTTGGAACTGACCCATAGCAGGCCCTCAAGCCAGTTTTCAGAGACAGTAAATTGCATTGGAGGAGACTGCCCATCCTTGCATGGTTAAACATTGTGGCAAGATGTAAACTTTCTCTGAAAGAGTGGTGAGAGGGTAAATTATTGTTGTATTAAGTTTCTAAAGGAGAGAGGATTTTCAGAAAAAGAGAATGGTACTAGAAGAAAGGGTAGGACACGCTATGACATATCTGAGGCAGACAGGCAGGAAGGTGAGGGCACTCATACCTGAGACTTCTGAAGCAGTGGAAGGCGAGCTCATTTAGGAGAGTGAGGTGGGTACAAGGATGGGAAAGGATAGTAGGGTTTGACATGATATCCATTTGTAATTCAAACAAATCTAATGCATAGCTTCCAGTTCACAACAGAGTCTATATGATATGAGGTAACAACAAAGGATTCAGTTATTTATGTTTCTAAAAATCCAGATATTTGGCATTATGTAGATAATTTCTAGAGGAGCTGGACACCCATTCCAATGACTTCTTGTTGATCTAACATTCTGGAAAAGAAATGGAGGTAATACCTTCTGTGGAAAGGGTTCTCAGTTCTCCCAATTTGCAACACATTATTTGATAAGTGACTGACTCCATTAATGAATAGATATTCTGAAAGCATAAGAATCTTTGAGACCCAGTTCCATATGTTGGAGTGCTGAGCCTAACTGTCTATATTCTGTACTGGCATATTAGCCCACACTAGTTGTCCCATAGAAGAGCAAATGACTATTTCTGTGGGACCCAGGCAGTGGGCTTCTTTTATACTGATTTGCTTTGTACTCACTCTTTTAAAAACTTAAACAGATCCTTATTAGTGCTTGTGTGCTCCTTGGTCTGGGGGTTAGAAAGTTATGACTTTACCGTCATGATTTGCTTGTGCTTACTGATACTGTTTGTGCTCTGTTGCTCTCACTCCCGATTAGGACAATGCTGTGGCTGCTGATTGATCTCAGGTGAAGTGGGTTACTGCTCTGCAGGGGTACCTATGAGGACTCACAGCATGTGGACAGGCAAGGGCTCCAGAGATGCATGAGAGGAAAGATGTTTAGCTCCCTCCAGTAAGATAGGAAACTGTATGAACTTAGAAAAATGATGTACGTTATAAAAGAGTTCAGGTCTTTCGTTCATAGGATAGCTATGAGTTGTCTACCACTTGATGGTACTAACAACAACAGCACCACAGAAGAAGGATGGGCAGTCTCCTCCTACATGATTAACGGCCTCTGAAAACACAGTGGAGGGTCAGCTATGGGTCAGTTCCGATTTTATGGTACATCAGCAAGAAGTACCAGCATTAGGAAAGGTGTACGTCAGGGATGCATCCTATCTTCATATCTTATCAATCACTCAGGTGGTTGGGCTCTATGAAGAAGAATGTGGTATCAGGATTGGAGAAAGACTCATCAACAACCTGCATTATGCAGATGACACAACCTTACTTGCTAAAACTGAGGAGAACCCAAGGCATATGCTGCAGAAGGTGCAGGACTGCAGTCTTCAATATGGATTGATGCTCAACATCAAGAAAACAAAGATTCTTACCACTGGGCCAATGGGAAGCATTATGATAGATGGTAAAGAGATTGAGATTGTTAACAGTTTCAGTTTGCTTAGCTCTACAATCAACACTCTTGGTACCAGCAAATAGGAAATCAAAAGAAAAATTGCATTGGGAAAATCTGCTGTCATGGACCTTTCCAGAGTACTGAAGAACAACAATGTCTGTCTAGAGACTAAGGTGTGCCTGATTCAGGCCACAATCTTCACAGTTAACTTGCTATGCATCAGAGAGCTGGAAAATGACTAAGGGTTATAGAAGAAAAATTGAAGGTTTTGAATTGTGGTACTGGAGAAGAGTACTGAAGACAGACTGCTAAGAGAACAAACAGATCTATCATGCAGAGAGTGAAATCAGACTGCTCTTTGGAGGCAAGGATTTTGAGGTTTAGTCTGACATACTTTGAGAATGTTTCCAGGATGGATCAGTCCTTGGAGAAGGATGTCATGCTTGGAAGGGTGGAGGTATAGAGCAGGACAGGAAGACCCTGGATGAAATAGATTGATTCAGTGACTGGGGTAATGGGAGTGGGAGTGTCAGAGATGATGAAATTGGCTCAGGATAGAGTAGGGTTTAGAGTTGTTGTTGTGAGTTCATAGGGTTGTTGTGAGTCTGAGTCAACTCAATGGGCACGTAACAACAACACAATAGTACCAGCATCCTTTGTATCAGGAGAGTTCCTGGAATGGCAGATCCAGGAAGTCATGATTGGTTTCAAGACAAAATGTACTGTTTGAAGCATCTTGCTTCCTCACACCACCTGGAAATCCTTCTTCTTACATATCTTGGTTGCAGAGTGTATTCCTTCTGTCTTACAGCTCTGGATGAATACTGCAGACAATCTGGACCTTGCTCTCTTTTCCCATCTTGTCGAAATCTTTCAATCATCAAGGTAGGTATCACAGTCCAGGGTAGAACTAAGGGCATCCAGTAGGGTAAAGGCATGTGGAATTGAGTGTCACAGTGACCATTCACTCAGCTCCACTCCAACTACTAGATCCTCAGCTCTGAGTGGATATACTCAAGCACTTGCATGCATGAAGCAGGATCACCTCCCCTTCTATCTCAAAAGCCAGGCTGAGGCTCACATTTGCTAAGGAGGGTGACAGGAAAGGCAGATCCTCATGAAATATCTGCACACCCACGTTCACCTCTTTACTCACATGCTGGTTGTTTCAGTAATTATTCACACCTTTGTATCTTTTGAATATATCTTGAGACATCTCTTTATTCAATCCCCACATCCATTATTGATTACTGATTATAAACTCACCTTGTGCATTGTCCTTGAGTCTCAACTCTGATTACGGCAACCTCATGTACAACGATTAAAGCATTGCTTAGTTCTACACCATTCAGGTCATTGCTGTACCCTAGTCTTTTGCTGTAACTTCCATGAATTTTGAGTGTCCTTCATTCTAGGGGTGTATCTTCTAGCACTATAGATTCCCACTGACTAATTTTGTGACACAAATCTCCTGGTCTTTCTCCTCACCCCATCTTTGGAAGATTGTGGAAACATGCCCACCACAGGACCTCTGCTAGTATTTAAATACCAGTGGTCTCACTTTCAACACATGGCCACACACAAATCACTGCAGCCAACTGATAGGGGACAGCAGACCAAGTTGTTAGTTCTGTTAAATTAAGAGCACAACTCAGCTCTTTGGAGAATTACAGAGACTCATGCTTCTCAGAGCTTGGACTCAGACTCCAAATGTGGAGCAGGAATGTACTGGCTGAAGGGAGCACATCTTCCTGGTGGGGTGCATGAGCAGGACTTATCCCTACAGTTGAGTCCAGCTCAGCCTATTTTGTGTACTAGAGGCGTAGAGCTTAGCAGAATAGCACATGTAAATATGACTCACAAGAACAAAACATGAAAAGTTGCCTATATTAAATAAAAATAAATTCAGCAGTTTCCAGTTTGTTTCTGTACATGTGTCTGTTTACATCTTGCTGAGACGGCAAAACCCTAGGAAGAGATTTCTTTGGGGGAGTACAGTTTACTGGAAATTGGATGTGCAATTATCCTACAAAGTGGGATATGGGCTCTTCAGTTCTACCTCTTTCCCCTTTGACTCCTGGCACAGCGTGCTCACCCACTTTGTGGTTTGAGGAGGGCAGGAAGAGCACACATGCCCCAGACAGGCTTGCGGAGGCTCGGCCTCCTGGCTCTTGGGAAGTGCTCCATGGTCACATGCATGTCTGCTGTTTTTGTTCTGAGTTTTCTGAGGCTAGCATTAGTTTTCTCTGAGGTTTGGAATCTAAAAGTCAATAACTGGAGGTTTGTTTTGGAAGGCAGTTTCCGGGGGTGGAAGGGAACCAGGAGGCTCAGCCCTGAGCTGACGCTGGCCTTTGGCAGACACATATTCAATGAATGTCTGACAGAATTTTGAAAAAGTGCCAAGAGAAGGTTGGAGTTAGGGGGCCACGGGAACAAGCTTAGCCTGGAAAACCTTTTTATCAGAAACACAGTGAATTTGGTTATTTCCAGTAAAAGCTTTTAATGCCTCTCTCCTGACCTTACCAGGGAAGGAGCCAGGAATGCTGAAGTTGCTCACCAAGCACAACTCATCCCCAAATTGGTCTTCCTCTTCAATGAGCAGAGTCTTACCTCAGCCAAGATCTCCATCATTGTTGCTATCCTGGGTCACCAGCTGATAGGCCACTTCAGCTTGAAGGACTTGCTCAGGTATGACACTAAACTTTTGGGAAAGGGAAAGAGCTAAGAACCATTTTATCAGGACAATGGGCCCCCATTTGCTTCTGACCACATTCAACCCCACATTACTGACTCTCAATCCAGGGGTAGATTTTATATCCCTGAAACTGCTAAGGTTTGTGATCAGGGCTAGAAGTTGAAAAAAATGTGAGGGGCAGTGCAAGATCCAGGATGGGGTAGATAGACTATACTCAAGATGCAAAAATTTTCATAATCCCAGAATAAGGGCCAATGGCTCAATATGCTTACTTCTTACAGACTTCTCAAAAGGCATTCCCAGCTGGTGCCTCCCTTAGCTCTTTTTTTTCTTGATCTAGCAGACTCCTTTGGTGAGTGTGACAGATTTTTAAATCTCTGGAAATATTAAACTAATCAGATAATGATATAATTCTGCTTAAGCCCTTCCTCAAAGTTACTAAGGTGAACCTTGTCCCGGATAAGGGCCCAAAGGACGGTGGATGAACCTGCCGTTGAGTGTGTCTTCTCTCCCTGTTCCACAAAGGATTGCTCTGTTTGTTGTGTACACCCTCAAGCCTTCTTCTGTGAATGAGAGGCAGATCTGCATGGATGGAGTCCTGAACCTCTCTGGATCTGGTGAGAAGACCCAATTTTAACGTTAGAGTGAACACATGAGCAACCCTTGCTGCCCTCCTAAGCACAAGTTGTGGGCCACTTTGCAAAAAGGAAGACTGACAGAGAGAAGGCACAGGACTCACAACTGGGGATTGTGATCCTGTAGCTCTATGACTAGTGTCATGATCAAATAAAAGTTTGGACTTGTGTTTCAAAACCTTCAATAACAGCTTTTGGGGCCTGTAAGAGAATCAGTTCTCATAGACCAGCCTTTGCACAGGCTTCTGTCTACCTCCAGTGTTCTCCCTCATTCACAAAAGTTCTGACTCTAGATAATTAACTACCTACAAGGCTGTATTTGTAGTGGTTGGTCATCCTCTCATGTCTTTGTCTTCCTTGCCTTTGTACATGAGGCTCTTCTACAAGAAAGCCTTTCCCTGACCCTAGTCCACCTTTCTATCTCATCCTGTCAGACTGTACACTGGAGTCATTTCCTCCACAGAGCCATCCCCCAAGCCAGAGTAAGTGGCATGTGTTTATAAAGCACCTCAGAGCTCACCCTAGGGCATAATTTATCATTTTTCTTTGAGTTTCTCTCTCCAACTAAATATAGAATCTCATTTAGCATCCTTACTGCTTAAAGAAGAGATGAGACAATTAATAATCACATTTGTCTCAAAACCTGGAAATCTACTGTCCAAGACAGGAGATTATAGTCATGTAAGTTTAGATTACAATTGTTGCTGTTGTTGTTATGTGCCATCGAGTCACCTGTGACTCATAGCAACCCTATGTACAACAGCCCTAAACCCTGCTCTATCCTGTGCCAATTTTATTGTCTCTGACACACCTTCCCACATTACCCCAGTCACTAAATCAATCCATGTCATCAAGGGTCTTCCTCTTCTGGACTATCTTTTTATCCTCCCAAACATGACGTCCCTCTCCAAGGACTGGTCCCTCCTTGCAACATGTCCAAAGTGTGTCAGACAAACCTTCAGAATCCTTGCCTCCAAGGAGCAGCATGGTTTAACCCTGTCCAGGATGAACCTGTTCATTCTCTTAGCAGTCCATGCTGTTTTCAATACTTTCTCCAACACCACAACTCAAAGGCATCAATTCTTCTATAATCCCTACTCATTGTCAAGGTCTCTGATACATAGCAAGTGATTGCAAAGATCATGGCCTGTATCAGGCACAGCTTAGTCTCCAGACTGACATAATTGCTTTTCAGTACTTTGCAATTAATACAATTAACATTTCAATTCTTCTATCATATTGTCCACATACCAAGTGCACAGTAAGTGTATGTGTCCAGAATGGAGATACCTAATATTTCTATCATCACAAAAGAGTCTCTTGGAAAATGTATCCATTACTTTTTTTTATTCTTACAATTAAAAGCCTAAAAAGTAGAAACTATCATTTCTATTTATTTCAGTTGTAGAAATTGAGGCTGGGAAGGATTAAACTATTCTTTAAAAATGTTTTTATTTGTTTGCATACAGTCATGTAGTGTTAGCCTAAAAGTTGACTTTTCTTAGACATTAGCCTCTGTTCTCCAGCTACTTTAACTGCAGGTAGATAATCTTGCAAATCAGCCTTGCCTTGCAAATCAGAGTCAACAGTGGAACTAGGATATATGAAAGAATGTTTCCCACACTGAGCAACCAGAAGTAGAGGTGAGAAAGACTTGAAGCAAGACTTGAGGGAAGCAAGGCCTGTGGCAGCAAGACCCTGGTGAGAACAAGATTCTGGTGGTGGAGAAATGGAGACATTGATGTGGACAAACTGTGGCAAGGTGTGACCTGAGGCTTCTTGCATTTGTGCTGGTCACAGTCTGATTTGCCATTCTTGCCTTTGATAATGGAAGGAAAAGATGTTTGCTGAATTTAAACCTGGATTAACTGAGCGGTTGAATTGCTGGACTAACCCCTGGATTTATTTGAGGTAGCATTCTTTACCTCCCTCACTCTCCAACTTCCTTCCCTAATAAGTCACATTGTTGGTACCATAACTGTGAGTATGTGAGTCAGCAACAGCAACAAATAAACAAACCTTTTGCTGAAGGTGGGGTTCTAGATGCACCATAGCCCTGGGCTACTGGCTCCTGATCTGCTTTTTGCTCTGGAACAGTGAAAGGCTGTTTAATTCTGACTTCCTTTGAGTTTTTCAGAGAGGTGTTTATAGCCTTGTGCCTCCATGCCTCGTTTTCTGCTCCTCTTTAGACATTAACACATATATATTGTGTTTTGTACATACACTTTATGTTTTATATAATCATTGTATAAATTATATGTTATACAATTGATCACCATTTATCTGTGTCACTCTGTCCTCTCAGGTCACCATTGATCTTTTCCCAGTACTTTACCCACCAAGGTCTGGCATTCCAGTGATCTTTCCCTCTTCCCCCTTTTTTTGTCCCCCTGTCATCCCCTTCCTCCTTTCAGCATTTATGCATATCTTCCTCAGTTATCCTCCCTTTCTTACAATAGTGGTCTTGTACAGTATTTGTCTTTATGTGACTGAGTTATTTTTTTCAGTTTAATACTTTCTAGATTACTGGGGGGCAATGATATCAGTCTAGAGACTAAGGTGAACCTGATCCAAGCTATGTTGTTGTTGTTGTTATGTGCCGTTGAGTCGCCTGCGACTCATAGTGACCCTATGTACAACAGCCCTAAACTCTGCTCTGTCCTGTGCCAATCGCACTGTCTCTGACACTCCCATCCCAATTATCCCAGTCA